GAGAACCGAGGAGCACCTAAGGATAGAAGAGGAAGAAAAAGGAAAGGAGCAGGGACAGCACAGCTTAACATATGGAGTTGCCTGCACAATTTATTTGATGCTCTGTCCAGACCAGTGAGTTTCAGATAAGAGTTTAATAGGCAAGAATGTTGCTTGCACTTACTTTCAGGTCACAGTGGTAGCCCTTAGTTGGGACAGGATACAGCTTCTTATTTATGTTTGATATCATATTATTTCATGCCAACAAATATTTTATGAGATCAAATATGAAAGAACCTCTAAATGGCACTGTAGCTGCTGCCAGAATTTTTTTAAGTCCTATGAAATGAAAGAAATATGTAAATGTAAAGGAAATACATAGTTAAATTCCAGGTTTGAGTTAAAGGTCTTAGACAAATTCCAAGGGACAGCTCTGAGAGAAAACATGGAAAACAAGGGTTGTGACATTGAAGGAGAAAGAGGGGGTAGGCAACTGTTTCCAAAATTACTAAAATTTTGTATGGAGCAGGAAACTCTATACCTTAAACTTATACCATTAACAGCCATATCAGCTTTTGGGCTCTTTCTATTTCTTAATACAATTACATTTATTTTATATGTGACAATTAATAATACTGCATTTCAATGTTCAAATTTGGGTTAATTCAACATAATTTTGGTTGAATTTATTTATTGTAATTTACAGACTAAAATCTCCTAATCTCATCTTCATCATAATGTAATATTTGTTATTTTATTTTACCCCATGTATTTGCATATATATCTTTCATTTATAGAGACATCTGAAACAATGCCATCAAACCAGGCTTTATATGGTCTTACAATCCTATATAAAACTTCTGAACAGTATGAATTATATGCTTGCAAGTGATTCTGAGTTGTGAACCAGATTCACCATATTAAACTATAGACCAATTAAAGGTGATCCAGTGTAAATAGTCAGTTAATGAAGCAAGAAATTAAGGAAACAAAGGAACACTGTTTTAATGAGAGAATGATGGAAAACAAATTGATATTTTGTCTGAGATGTCATGAGAAGGGACTAAATCTTAAGACAGACAAGGTTAAAGAAAGGTTAATACCAATAAAGGAAGAAGGATTGCTAAAACAACTGAGGAGATTTATGAAAGAGCACATTCCACAGACTTGCAACTATGAGTACTGCAGGCAAAGGGGTGTGGATGACAAACTGTTTAAAGAAGTAGTGAAGGCAGTGGAATACTGGAGTTACATTTCCTTTGGGAGATCAGAGAAGCACGATCTTGCAGTGTCCAATAAACTAAACCCAGGAACAAGGAACACGAGGTTTCCAGTTGACGTATGGGGACTGTGGTGGAAAAGTTGGCACCCCATGAACTGCTGATCTTATTCTCTATCACAGACCTGTTCCAGCCTCCCTGTGACTAACGCTGGAATGATTCCATAGATTTGCTATGCACTATCTTGGTAGCTACTTCAAGTAAGCCACTTAATAAGTGGGGATCTTTTCCATTTTGAAGGGATCCCTACTCAGGGATTTTTTTTTTGGTGTGCAACACCAAAACCATATATAATTTGTAAAAGCATGAAGGCTACAGAGGAACCTGGCCCGTGTTACTGTGAACAAAGGATCATGTACAGTGCTCAGCAAACATTGAAAAACACAGAAATTAACACGATTTTTCAAACTGACCAGCTAAAGAGGCCTGCATGAGATTGGGTTACAATAAAAAGAAGTATCTCACTGTCCCCTTATCCAGTCTTCTTCTCCTGTATTCACTCTATGGTTTGGTCTTCGTGGTGTTTTGGTGTTTGTTTGTGGGTGGTTTTTTGTTTGTTTGTTTGTTTGTTTTGTGTGTGTGTTTGGTTTTTCTGGTTTTTGTTTGTTTGTTTGTTTGTTGTTTTGGGTTTGGGTTTGGGTTTGGGATTGGGGGTTTTTTTGTTGGTTTGGTTTGTTGGGTTTTTTTGGGGTTTTTTTTGGTTTTTTGTTTTGTTTTGTTTTTAATATAGAAGTCAGCATCAGGAATACTATGGTGGAAATTCATGCATTGAATAAATTTTCGTAATTTCTTCACTTTTCATCTGATGTATCTGGTTTTTTGTTTACCCTCTGGATTTGTTTGGTTTTGATACAGACATAGGTTTGGCAGAACTTATAGACGGAAAGGTAACCTCAAGTTCAAACAAAACTACATCGCTTTGGAAACTGCGCTTTCACTTTTAATTACAGCATGTCACCCGGATGATGAAAGACAGTTATAGATAAATTTATCTACTTTAAATGCTTTCCCTTTTCTCCTTGTATTCTTACATTTGTCTTATACTTCATGGACAGTGACTGTGTTTTGCTGCATTTTTAGTACAGTGGGATGTTATACAGCTACTTTCTGTTTTAACCTCAGTTTACCATGTGCATCATGCCATGATAAACTGAAGCATAGCTTTTCTGTGTGTGAATTTTGCTTTTTGTTTTATTTCAAAATTTCTGTATTTAGTGGGATGAGAGCTTACAAGCTGTTTTACTTGCAGCATTTTACAATGTTGTGATCTTGTTTGAAATTTCAGTTTCAAGTAGTGATCAGATTTCCCATACTTTTAAGCTATGAAGAAAAATGGATTTATTGAGATTTAATATCTTAATTTGAAAATCTCACCTGTAGTAATCAAGTTTGCAAAGGAAAAAGCTAAATACTTTCAGTGTGTGATATCTTTGAGTTCACTGAGGTACTTTATGATGGTAACTTCATTTTGTAAGATTTAATGCTTCATAACATCATTAGTTTGAACATTTTTGAAAGATACACAGTAGAGAAAATTATTAAAATCTTGACTGTGTAAAGATTAGCTAGCTGACTGATATATGCTACAATTTCCAAATTTTATCCTTGTGAGCATGCTTTGAACAAGTGTGAGAAATACCAGCTTTAGTAGATACTACGAGCACTCCTAAGGTTGGGTTTAAGGAATATTAAATACCATTGGTATATTCAGGGACAATTTTTTGAACCCTGTAGAGGCTCCCCAGCTAAAAACTTAATGGTCTTTGCATTAGGAAGAAACCACACATATTCATCTATCACTGGGGACACAAAACACAGCAAATGTCCTGCCCTGCTCAGGAGCAAGTAAACATCCCCAGGATGCCAAATGGAAAGCAACAACATGCAAACCAACACCAAAAGCAGAGGAAAAATTATTACAGTGTCAGCATAAAGACTGTGTGATATGCACTGCTTACAAAGTTGATCAGCCAGATTTTCAGAGTCTGGTGCCTCCTGGAAGCAGCTCCATTTCTTGTTACTGAAGTTTGTTGTTTCTTTCATGGAACAGTACTGAAAGCATAAGCAGTGATGAATCATGGAATTATACTGCAAAGCAGCTGGCAGATGTGGGAGAAAATGAACACCTTGGACTTGAGGATGCTGGCATTCCTAACTATTACGCTAACAGTTGCCCAAAATACAGTATTTTAGTGGGTAAATTTTCAAATATATAATCACCATCCAGAAATGCCATGTTTGCCTATTCAGAAATCCCCGACTGTGGCTAGCAAACAGCACTACACTGATACCTGCTGGTGACTAGTTACACACTGTGGTGTTCTCTGGGAATCTCTCAAATATGACTGATGCTTTGCTTGCCACTCCAACAGTCAGGCAGTCCCAGTTCCATCTGTAAAGGACAACAACATGTATGCAGCAGCTACATTAGCATTGTCTTGTACCAGCCGTTTTGGACTACCCACAGATCTATAGGAAGGTTTATATTATCTTCACTTCAACTAAGGGTTCTGAGGGCATTTTGCTTGGTATTCCTGTGTTGCTTTAAGCAGTTTGTGCTCTTTAGCTAATTACTACAATGTGCATAAAATATATATATTACAAATGTGGTGGTTGTGGGCACTGATAATTATACTTACCCTGAACCTTCGTGTCCATCACCTGTAGCTCATCCCATTAATCCATCTACCCCAGTATTGTTCCAACATTCCAAACCTCTGAGCAGTTTCAAGTAACTGTGACTTTTCCTCAATTTTCAAAGTTTTTTTTTCTCTTTCTTTTCCGAACCTGTCAAAGATATATTTCCTTCTTTTCCTACTGAATTAATGCTGGCCAAAAGACAAAACGGTGGTATTTTGCCCTGAACTCAATTGTGGTATCTGCTGTATCTCATCAAAGTGCAAAGCTTAGCAAGGGGCTTTTGCAAGATACCCTGGGGAAGAGGAGATTGCTAGGGTCCTCAGGGAGCAGCCAGCAATTCTCCAGTGTTTGGAACGTCCTCTCCTAAATACTGGTGGTTTGAAGTCATGGCATTGTTATCTACATCAGTACTATTTCTGATGAATTTTAACAGTTTTAAAATATTATTTGGAAGTGTCGAAGACTTACTATTAGTAATTCTCTAAGATTAGACAGCTGGATTAGCTCTATATGTAGTAGCATCTAGTTACTAAAGATCAAAGCTAAAAAGAAATAATCCCCACAACATTTTTTAACACTCAAATGTTTTCCATTTTTTAAACGTAGGAGTGACAAACTCCATACAGAATGCCTGAAGTAACATAACATTTGTATTGGCATTCACTTCACTTGTCCTTCCTAAATCGTTACTCACACCATTGCCACTTGTTTTGCGACTACTTAAAATGAGGGCCATTTGAAGACTGTATTATCAGGTGTTCTTTCCACCCACTGGAGTTTGTACATAGTGTATAGACTACAAAGTCCCACGACTTTGTTAGCTGAGGGCGGGCTAGCTGAGGGCGGGCTGGCTGAGGGCGGGCGGGCGGGCGGCACGATGCCCGTCCCGCCGGGAGCTCGGCACAGCCGAGCCCCCGGCGGGACGGGCAGCGTACCCGCCCTAGTCCCAGCCCTCACCCCGCACCGCCCTCACGCCCGTCCTCAGCCCCGCACCGCCCTCATCCCGCACCGCCCTCATCCCGCACCGCCCTCACTGCCGCCCTCCTCCCTCACGGCCCTCAGCCCCGCGCATGCGCAGTGCCGGCAGCGGTGGCGCGAAAATCGGTGTGGCGGCGCGGCCCGGGCGGAGGGTAAGGGAGGGGAAAAGGGGAAGGGAGGGGAAAAGGGGAAGGGAGGGGAAAAGGGGAAGGGAGGGGAAAAGGGGAAGGGAGGGGAAAAGGGGAAGGGGCTGGCGGCACCCCCCGGGGCTCTGGGGCGGGTCACCCGCACCCCGCGCCCGCCCGCCTTGCCCTCCAGCCCCGCTGGGGGTCGGCACTCACGGCTTCTGCGGGCGGGCCGTGCTGGGGCCTCACGGCCCTCAGCAGAGATCCTTCCTGGCATCCCACCTAAACCCGCTCCTTATGGGGTCACTGCCCTTTGTCCTGTAGTGGTAAAGGCGCCGCGCTATCACCGCGGAGACCCGGGTTCGATTCCCGGTCAGGGCCACTCCCGGGCAGGTGGGGCTCGTTAGCCCTTAAAGGCAACCCACCTACGTCCTGAGGACCTCGCTGCCACTGTCCAAGCTCGCTTGGCCCCGGCAGATGAACCTTAGGATTAAAGGGTGGGCTCAGTTCCGCGCACACTGTGTCTCACCTAAAAAATCCAATGCGCAGGCTGGAAGGTGTAAAGACCTTCCCCGGATCTTCACTTGTGAAGACTGGCCATTACACGCCGCCGTTTAGCCATCGGCGCGCTTGTAGCAAGCGTGAGTAGAGCCCTTCTCAGATCTTCCTTTGCGAAGCCCAGCCGTGATGTTGGCACGCCCCCGTAAAAAGTCTGTCTTCAGCACTCTTGTATCGCCCTCAGCTAACAAAGTCGTGGGACTTTGTAGTCTATACACTATGTACAAACTCCAGTGGGTGGAAAGAACACCTGATAATACAGTCTTCAAATGGCCCTCATTTTAAGTAGTCGCAAAACAAGTGGCAATGGTGTGAATAGCTCTGGATATAAATACCATGGTCAGTACCTGGTGTTCAGATACTTGGGGTGAAGAGTTTGGAATGTGTCTTCTCCTATGCTTGTGTAAGCCAGGGGAATGCTTGAATTTAGCAGTTGCGTGGCTATTAAAGAAACACTGTTGGAAATATGAATACCTGTAGTGTTCATTTGTAATTTAATTGAAGAAAAAAGGCTAATCATTCTTCTCTGTATCTAAATAAATTGTGTCCCTGTTCCTGCTTGTCCTCCTGACCCCCACAGCTTAGTTGGATTATCTTCTGGCTTTCTCCCTGCCACCTTGTGATTTTAGTATGCACAAGGAGAATTGACTGCTGGTCCTTGATATGAAAGGAATACACATTTTTCTTCTCTATTACATTATTATGTGACTCTGAAGAGTGGATTAGTGTTCTAACTTGCTGTGTACAGTTTAATGTATGTGCTTCTGCTTCTGACTGGAAATGAGGGAATTACTGTATATTTGTTAATTGCAGAACTTAAACTTCTAAAAATAAAAAAAAAGTGCCAAGGGTTGGTGTGTATGCAACATCCCCTCAATGGTAGCTCAAAGTATTGCAACTGACACAAAGTAAATACTGTGTATTTCATGGTGAAACTTTGAACTAGTGTCTAGCTAAGATGTTTTTTCTCAGAGAAACTGAATTTTAATGAAAGAAATTTCTCTGTATTCCACTCAAGCAATATACAAAAATAAGTTGACAGAAGAGGAGGTTCTATGATGAAGGAAACTTGGATAATTGGTTTGGTTTAATGTTCAGATTGGAATAGAATAGAACAGACTATTTTACTGGGACCTACAAAAATCATCTAGTCCAACTGCCTGACCAAATATTAAAGTATGGTATTGAATGCATTGTCCAAATGCCTCTTTTTAAGGCACTAACATTCAAGGAGCAAAAACCACCTCTGTAGGAAGACTATTCAAAGTTTGACCACTGTCTTGGTAAGGAAAGGTTTCCCAATGTCCAGTCTGAACCTCCCCTGTCACAGCTTTGAACCATTCCCATGAATCCTGCCACTGGATCTGAGGGAGACAAGATCAGCAGCTCCGTCTCCACATCCCCTCAGGGATGTGCAGAGCGCTGGGGTCACCCCTCAGCCCCTTCTCTCCAGAGCAGACCAGCCCAGGGTGCTCAGCTGCTCCTCACAGGAATTGCCTCCCAGCCCTTCCCCCGGGGCTGTTCCCTCCTGGGAACCATCCAAGGACTTCTTACTCCTTGTCCGGTAACTACATTGACTTTGCTTTGGCCTATGTGAAGCTGTTTGAAACCATAATTGCTAGAATTGGGCAATAAAAACAATATAGTAACAGTTCATGTCAGATAAGCCATGGCATATGAAGTGATGCATTAGCAGGCAGACTTGGCTTAGGAGAATATGTACAAACAATAAACCTTTAACAACAATTTTACAGTTATTGCTAAAATGTCTAACTTTTCAGTGTAGTGGCTTGGTGAGGTCCTATGTGGATGAGCTTCTCAGTGTCATGAAAGCTTAATGTGAAATCTGGGCTCCTTTGAGGCTAGCAAAAATTTTTCCACTGATGTAAACAGAACCAGCATGTATTCCTTTTCATGTAATTTGCAACAGAAGATCTCATTTATGAAGTGTTTGGACTAGTGGTATCAGAGACTCACGCACAATTGGTGTGTGATGTTACTGTAACTGTTAGCAAAGCTAAAGTCGTGTAAACGAGGATAGGACTTTTTGCTAAGTGATGTAAAAATACCTTTTATTTTTATGTTGCCAGATATCAGAAACAGTTCTGCCTCCTGTAGTTTGGAGATTGAATCAGACCTAATGCCTCTTTCCAGAGTTGCATTTATTTTTTGTGTTGTCTTTTTAGCTGCAATTTCCCCTGTGTTATCTTTATTTCAGCTGCTGTCACAGAAGTCAGCTGAAAATGAACTGGGTTGAGTGAAAAGGCTCTGTCCAGCAAACTAAATCCGAGGATATTTTAACATTAATTTTCATTAATTTTCATTTTAACATTAATATTCATTTCAATATCCTCCAAATATTCCTCAAGCACTAGGAGAGGTTGCCACTTTACAGTGACCTGAATGTTACCAAAATAATCTTGTAAGGTTTGCTATTCAGATTGTGCAGAACAAAATATGTAACCTTACTGAGGAAATATATTGAAAGGAGATGTACTTCACACCTCCCCTCCTCCATTTCTAGGAGATTATGAAGATGGGTACTTATTTGTGCTGCTGTTCACCATGCCCAGGATGTCAGTTCTGGCTTCTTCTGTGTTTTGCCGTATATTGTTGTTACTTTCTGTGGTAGATCTCTGTATACTGATAAGAGGTAAGCAATTCAGATATGGAAGAGCAAGAAAGGAGTTAAAGGGTAAGGGAGCACCCCCCTGTTTCTTTCAGGTCTGGCTTTTGTTTTGGAAGGCCGTGTTGATCTGCTTAACATCACTGTGCGCTGATCAAGTCTGGGATTTGATTTAGTGCCTTGAAAAAAATTTCCATTCTGCACATCCGTCTGATTCTCTGTCTACTGGTATGGACAGCTTTATGTGGGCCTTGCTGGGTTTTGCTCTGGCTACTGCTGACATTGAAATTCTTTTCAATTGGGACATTTTATGTTTTGGTACTTTGCTGAATTGCAGAGAGCCTTCTGACAGATGTAAAGGTACTTTACCTTGTCTGTTTTCTCCTCTTAAGTTTAACTTAAAAAAAACACTTGTGGTGGTGGAGTCTTAGTAACTTATTTGGTGTATTCCTTTCAAGAGTAGCTTCCAGTGGCTTGCAATGAGATTTTTTTGTTCAATTTGTGCCTAAAAATCCATTATATGAGCTGGTACTTACGTATTTTGTATACGAAAATGATGATTGATTGCCTTGTTGTCCTGTTAAGGTTCGTTATGGAAAAGTAACAAATAACATCTGTAAAATTCAGTGATACCATCCCTGCTTTTGCTGTTCCTGTGGCAAAAGGATGGATGGATGCGCTGCTTTTCCCATTACAGAAGGATTTATTCTTAACGTCTTGAAATGGGGTAAGTCAGAAGGAAGATTGGCTGCTGCAAGATAAGCCTGCCATTAGAACCAGAAAATTTTAGAATTATTTTTGTGTGGTTACTTTTATCAAGTGAGGCTAATAAATAATATTTTTGGGGTCATGAAGCTTATAGGCTGATGAATAGGAATCCCAGAATATTGTCAGTTGGAAGAGACCCACAAGGATCATTGAGTCCACCTCCTGGGCCTGCACAGGACCATCCCCAAGAGTCACACCCTGTCCATGAGAGCATTGTGCAGACACTTCTTGAGCTCTGTCAGCCTTGGTGCTGTGGCCACGTCCCTGGGGAGCCTGTTCAGTGCCCAACCACCCTCTGGAAGGAGATGGCTTTATTATGGTTGCATAGTCCTTTTTCAGGAAGAGGGAGATGTAATGTTTTCAGAGCGTTCTAGAAAGGGACATCTGGTATGAATCCAGCAAAGCTTGCTTTCTTGGGGCCAGTCTTCTCTACTCAGAGCAACAGGAAGCAACTGGAACCACCATTTCGCTGTTTGCAGTGTTACTTGGGTCAAACCTGGGCAAGAGGTTTAACTCATACACTGCCCACGAAAGAGGCCCTTTTAGGGACCAGCCACAGTCCCTTAAAGATGAAATTTGGGCTCTTTTTCCAGCAAGACCTGGTGACAGAATTCAGAATAAAGCTCTGACAACTGTTAAGTTACTAATTATCAGAGTAAATACGGGAAATAAATAAAGAGGAGCAAAACAGAGGAGTTAATTACTTTCTCCAGGAGAATTGTTAGTCTAAACATTGAATGATAATGCCAGCCATCTCTGGTTGACAGCTGTTTAGTGTGCCAGATTTAGCAGATTTCTTTTGGCAAAACTGTGTTCTTTGGTTTTATTTACAGAGGAAGTAACATTTGCAGGCAGTTTGTTGTAATTTGGAAAGTCTGTGTATAGTAGGGCAGTTTTCTGTAATAGTTGTTTTTCCTTGCTGTAAAATACCTGTGGATGTGGGCACAAAGGTTAATAGGCAAACTTGCTTTTATCTGGAAAGTTCCTAAAAAAATTAACACTAGTCAATTCTGATTTTAAGCACACCAGTCCAAAATGAAGATGGAAGTTATTCTCTCAATTTTTCTTGACTGCT